TAACATCTACCTTGATTCAGAACAAAAATTTTCAATAGGATGAGTTTTCTGAAATATGCTGACACCTCGAACAATCCTTCCCGCAAAATTTACATTTTCAATGACATTTATATTTTTTGATGATATAAATGCTGTAAAAAGCTGGGTACTTCTTAAAAACGAAATGATGATCACTTCAGGAAGAATATACTGTATATCAGTCCTTTTCTGCGATATTTTGCTCAAGAGTTTTTTTTTTTTGAGACTTGACGTTTGAGCACCAAATGAGTGCGAAACTTTCGGCGTAGAGTCTCAATTTTGTTTACTCACATACTGGATTCTATTCTCGGTAATGGTGGGTTGCAGAATTTTAAAAATTTAAGCCTTTGTTCATTTGAAACACTTTCTGGACAGTAGGATGTATGTTCATTTTTTTCCATCGAACAGTTTTTATTATAACAATAATTGAAAATACAAAAACGACTTAGTAGTAGGAATATTTGTTATAAAGAGATTCGCTGTAACAATGAGATTCTACTGTATGTAAAATGAAGGGACAGATGTTCCCAATTATTTTTTGAAGGCGGTAACTCGCCGCTAAAAATTTAAACAATTCAGTCTTCGTTCAATTGAAACACCTTTTCGAAAGTAGGATCTATGCTGTTAATTTTTTCCGACTCAGTTGTAAGAGACTACTTGTTATAAAGGGTTTATTTTTAATGAGATTATCCTGCATGATAAAATGTAAGGATAGACGTTACCAAAAATGTTTGAAGGAAATTTTTGGCGGACCCAGAAAAGCATTCATCATTCTGTTATCTTCTTTTACAGGTAACGCTGCGCCATTTTCGAAGAAATGGCAGATATTTTTTTCTAGAGTTTTTTTTACTCTACTACTCATTGGTAACCTCCAAAGATTTATAGGTGTCGCTAATAAAAATCTGAAAAGAGTTGCATTAAAGTACTTGGCATCTCGAAACATAAATTCAGGTTCATACTGTTATTTCATCCCTAACGTCGACGAAAAGATATTAGTCCTCTCATGGCATTTTCAAGTCGAATGCATACAGTTTGACCGAGCAAAAAAAACTTGCCTCATCAAAAGATACCTGCTTCCTCTGATTGACTGCAGAATCGTGCAACGTCGTTCCCCGCATTCTGTTGCTGGAATCTTCAAGTCCAGGGCAGGATTTATGCGGCACGAAAGGTGACAGTGGCCCTGGCCCCTCTCGCAAGATCACAAGAACCAGTCCGATGAAACCTGCAGCACCCAGGGCAAACAAGGACTGCATGAACCCATCGGTCCCAGGGTCCCCTTCCTGACCCGTCTTCCTTTTTGCGAGCTCTGCCAGCACCCAGCGGAACAACTCAATCGATCGCTCCATTCTTGAACAGTATCCCCGAAATTACCTCGTTTCTCCTCAAAATTTCCCCATTTTACTGCAGATTTTAGAAGAGTATTCGACAGGAATAGGAGACCGTTAAAAGTAAAGAAAGTAGAAGAGGAGGAGGAGAAAAAAAAAAGACGGAGTGGACGTCGTAATTTACGTAGGCGTAAACGAAGAATGTGATCTGGACGCTGAAAGAGACCCCAATAACTACGCCTTGAAGCTTGAACTTTTTGCAAGTTTAGCAAAAAATAATAATATCTTCAACTAAGCTTCATGGAATCTCGGTTCAAAATATTTCTGCCACCGGAACTCATCAATGTCCTACGATGCCAGAAGCTCGAAACCTTCATCGCATTGCGAAGATTTTCAGTTTGATGCGACATCTACTTGAATACGGTAATAATCTGACTTCATGGAAATTTTAGGGGATCCTCTCGTGCCGCTGGTGTCTTCATAGAGGATTCCGGCGTGGTTCTATCAACTTGCTGCACGTACAGCAATTTACATTCCTGAGCTCGTTTTCCGCAACCAAAGCACGCACCTGCCCCACTTACACACATTTATGCATTTATGCATACTAATTAACCTTAATCTTCCTGATTATCCATCAGGGCATTAATCTTCGTTAATGTAATGTGAGCTATAGAGGACAAGTTTGGAGAGATGGTCAACCTATACAAGGCATCAAAATGTCGGGGAGACAGTACACAATGATGGACTACCCTAGAATCAGTTCACCTTCAGGAAGTGGATTTTCCATGATGCAGTTTTTGTTGGGAGCTGCTCTAGGTTTTGCATTAGGCTCCATCGTCGGCATCATGTGGTGGGAGGGTCGCAACGAGGCACAGAAAGACAAGTTCCGGTAAGGAACAATTTGAACTCATTTTAATCCCACAAAATTTCAGGCAAAGCATTCATTAAATAGTTATCCTTCTGATTATATCAGGCGAGAAGTGGATAATACGTTGGACACCCTCCAGAACAAACTGCAGAGCCTCAAGATGAGCCGATGAGAATTGAAGTTATTCACCTGATTTACTCTGTGTGGACTATTATCATGATGAACAAAATAAAGGAGGCAACTGCATGAATTGTTGAATGCCTCTTAGTGATTCTTTATTAGACATTTTGAAGCTTTTTTTCCTTCAACAAGCAGAGACTTTAGACAGCGTTCCTTCCGGTCTAAAACATGAATTCATCACCATTACGACTGTACGGGGAATATTAAACTTTGATTTAAATTCATGAGTCTGAATCTTCCTAAATATTTAAGAATCAAACCCAAGCTTATTGCGGGAAAGTTCCGTTCATTTATGGTTCTCTTCGATTCCAGATGTAATTTACTCAGGAAATGGTTCATCATAGAGCAGTCATCTCAGTAAACATCGCTGCCGTAAAACAAATGCTTATCAATATTCCTTGTAATATATAATGTGTAATTATTTTCTGACCTTGTGGTGTACAGTATTTTGTTGCAGTCATTACAAAAATGCAGCCGACATTTCAGATTTCAACAGCTATTTCCGAAAGAATGCATAATTTATAGTCAAACCTCTGTTGCTTTCGTAGTTATTTTCTCCTTACGAGTCTCCTTATCCCGTAAATAATATTTGTAAATGTAAACCCGGAGGAGAATATATATTACAGTATTTTAATCAAAAATACATCAAGTATACAGAATATTGAACAGTGCGACCCCGACATTTGAACACCCTGAAAATTATAGAGATTTAACAACGAAAACTCAAGGCATTCTTTAAGTTCCAGCCAAATTAGGAATGATATACAGTGAAACGTATTTTTATAGTTCATGGATTTTAACGAAGTAATTTTCGGTATTTGGATATTTTCAAATCAGCACGCAGCTGGTTGACCGATGGTGCGCGATGCTCAGGATCCCGTTGTAGTACTTGGAGACATTTTTAAATACTGTACTTGCAGCCTATATTGGAATAAGAATACAAAACTTACGACAAAAGAAGAGTGGAGGCCTGGAACTTACTAGTGATACAGGTACGATGCTTATTGAAGTATATCTACCTGATTACCACATTCACTAATTGAAAACGCGTACAAAGGTTTTTGTGAAAATAATTAGAGAAAAAAATAGATCCCTTCCAGAAAAAAAGACACCATCATTTAAGGAGAAAATTTCTGCTTTTTCGCTTAAGAACCTTTTTCTGTAAAAAAATAAAATAAAATAAAAGGCCTGATATATTCCTTGCATTCTAGCAGCTGGAGACGAAAGCTTGACTAACACTTCCAAACCGGCCATAAACTTTTCCCCCCAGGGTGGAAAAAAGGCTTGAAAAATAATGCGAAAGAAAGTGCACAACTATGTACACGCAATACATTAATCTGTAGATATATATCTACAAAAAATCGCAATCTGACGAATGGAAGTCAGATGGAAACCTCCCCATTGTGTTAAACTGTGAGATATTGTGGAATGAACAACGAACGGCGAGGCGACAGGTTGATTGGCACGTTTACGCTGTTCCCGCCGTTTCGCTGATTTTGGCGCTAATGTCGAGTTTCTGGAGTTCCCGGATTTGCTCGCGCAGGTCGAAGTACTCTCGCTGACGTTCCTTGAACTCCCTGGAGATCACGGCGGCTTTGGCAGCTATCTCCGACAGCTGTTGCTGTGTCATGTGGCCTCCTTTGCCAGCGTCATTCATTAGAGCGGTCGGAGCATCGCCGCCCGGCGCCACGGGTTCCCTAGATTTTGCAGCATTCATTTTATTTTATATATTCTGCTGCATTACAT